CCTAAGAGAAACTTTAAGCAATACATAATTAGAAATTCAATCAAGCCATTCTAAGCATTACTGGTAAACATACACATCAGATGAAAAATAAAAGATTAAATTATACACCTCTACCTAGAGAGCTGCTTAAACTATATTGCTCTTCCCTCTAATTATAAAAATTGTACCTTTCTCCCCTAAGAGATGAAACGTGTCATACTTTAGTTCATTTTTACATAAACACATCTCTTATTGGGCGGGGCGACTGGTGGGCAACTATGAATAAATTATCTCTGAAATTTTTCTTCTTTTCACAATTTTCAATGGCAATTAATTTTGAAAGTCTTGTTGATTTTATAACAACAAAACGGAATGAAGTTTTAAAGACTCCTACTATTTTGAGACTTCACCAAAAACCTTCATTTCATTTACTTACGTCTCAATTGATAATAGAGGTTCGAAACAAGATGCCAAAAATGTTGAGACTAACATTAAGACCAAAAGACCCTAAGAAACTTGTCTTCATTAAACGAAATAAAGAGTAACCCATTTATCTTCTAAGAGAGGGGAGTCCTATTTCTAAAATTAGAGGAAAGAACAATGTAATTTTAATAATCTTAAAGATGGAGAAGATAATATACCCACACAAAAGATAAAAGAAGGTAAATACCACTGCCCACACTGCCGTATATGTAAAGTCCTTTGGGAGCTGGAGGAGCATTTGGGCGGCGACCAACTAGTGAATCCAGCTTCTTCTCACGTTTAAGATATGACACCCACTTTCCTACCCCTGACTCCACATTTTCGGGTCTTTTCCTGCATCAATAACAAACAAATAAATACACAACACATTTTATACAATCTACCTAAATAAAAGTAAATCTGCATCAAGGAAACACAAGTCGAATTTGAAAACACTATTTTCACTTAAAAAATGCTCATAATCAACGAAAAATATACGAGTATAAGCATCTAATTGAATCAAAATAACTTGAAATTGACTCAAAATATGCAAGCCGTGTTCGCATCAAGGGAACACAAGCGGAATTCGAAAACACTATTTTCACTTAAAAATGCTCATAATCAGTGAAAAAATACAAGCATCTAATAGAATCAAAATCACTTGAAATTGACTCAAAATATGCAAGCCGAATTTGCATCAAGGAAACACAAGCTGAATTCAAAAACACTATTTTCACTTAAAAAATGCTCATAATCAGTGAAAAATGTACAAGTTTAAGCATCTAATTGAATCAAAATCACTTGAAATTGACTCAAAATATGCAAGCCGGATTCGTATCAAGGAAACACAAGCCAAATTCAAAAACACTATTCTCACTTAAAAAATGCTCATAATCAGTGAAAAATATACCAGTTTAAGCATCTATTTGAAATGAAATCACTTAAAATTGACTCAAAACATACAAGTTTAAGCATCTAGTTGAACAAAAATCATTTCAAATTGACTCAAAATTTACCCGGTGGTCCATCTTTCAGTGATTTTATTATTCAATTTCTTCCACCAATCCTCCTCATTCTGCTGCTTCTCAACTTCCTCTATGAGAATCCTTTGCCGCTCGTTCTCCCTATTCTTCTCCCAATTAGATAGATTAACCTATCACAAAGCACACAAGTACCAATTCAAACATAATCCAAAAAGCCACAAACAAACAGAGAAATCTAATTAAAAAACTTACATGATACTCTTCCATTTCTCTCTCATAATTCTCCAACCTAGCTAACAAATTCTGAAGCTCAGTAGCAACACTCTCTTGGTAAGGATCGTGCTGCAACTTCCCTTGATCAACTAGATTTCTGTACTGCACAAGCGGTCCTAAACAAAGAAAACGCCACAGTTTTCATAATTGAATAAAGTAGAACTGAATTTCGAGAAATCGTTAATGTTGAATTGAAGAGTAATTGAAGAGATTAGGGATGAACCTGGACGGTTTTGCTTGGGAATGCGTGATGGATCGCAGTAAGAACGAAACGGAGTAACGCGGAAGTTGGTTGGGATTGAAAATGCGTATTGGAAGAGTTTGTTAGGGTTGTTATTGGAGAGAAGGTTCCAGATTCTTCTCATTGTTTTTGCGTTTTGTTTGTTGAGTGAAAATTTCGATTGCATTGCTTGTTTTGTTTTCTTTGATGACTGAATGCAATGTATTCATGACGAGAGTTTGATGGAAAGAAAGAAAAGGTTGACGGGGAGTGACGTGGCTGCTTCTTTAACCACCAAAACAAACAAAATTCAATAACGGACACCAAACTAACTCTTTCGTTAAGAGTTAAGACAGGTTGTTTTCGCTAGAGATTTCACTTTGGATTTTAGAGAATTTTAAAAGTGTGATGTATGATCAATTTCTCTATTACATAGTACAAGATGGATCTTTAAAGGAGATTAGAAATATTTTTTGAATATGAGTCTTCATCCATTATAAAATATCATAAATAAATAATACACAATTTGGCTTCCACTCGATTTATTGATTATTATTTTGATGAATAAAAGTAAATGGAAAAAGAGATAAGTTGAAATCAACTATTAATGTCTTATTTTGATCCTCAAACTAAACAATATGAATTAGAATTTTAAAAATTCATTTGCAAAGTTTAACACATCAATTATTAAATGCATTTATTAATCTAAAAAATGTGACTAATCATATACACCATTATCTAATACTTCAATAAAAACAAATGTTTTTATTTACAATTTAACACATCTCAAGAACTCATGAAGAGTAGATGATCAATCAATTTTAAAGATAAAAACTCTTAAGACATTAAATGAGTTTGGAATAAAGATGGTCCGAGCGAGGATGTATAAACTCTAAAATCGTCTTTAAACATATTAACAATCCAACTTCAAAAAAGGCTAATATGATATTTGAAATTCATTAAAATAAAGAGATCTCGATAAATCATGTTCATAATGGAATACAATGAAATTAAAATGAAGTCAACATTGACGATAATTTTGAATATAATATAACACTAAAAGTGATAAATCATAACAAGAATGATGAACCAACATCTATTATATATTATAGACAATGTGAAAATTAGCCAAAATAAAAAGATGCATTTGAATCAGAATTAAACTCATTTTCAAGAAACAAATTTTTGGACATGTAGTAAGAACACTTCAAGATGGGAAACTAATTGGATACAACTTAGTTTTTTGTGAAATTAAAAATAATGAAATTGTGAGATACAAAACTCGACTTTTTGTTCAAGGGTTTTTTCAAAGACGTGGAATTGATTTTTGATGAGACAAACTCACCTTTGGTGGATATAAGTATTTTTTTTCCTATATTTAATTAGTATTCTAACACATGAAAGACTTAATTTTCACATAAATGTTGTTACAACTTATTTGTATGACTCACTTGACAGTGACATTTATATAAAGTTTCCTGAAGGGTTGAACTTACCTTAGGCACATAATTTTGTATATAAAATGAAACAAGTCCCTTCATGGGATAAAATAAATCTGGACTCATGTGGTATAATCGTCTTTATGAATATTTGTTAAGGGAGATATATACAAATCCATTTGTCTATTTTCTATCATTGTTGTGTATGTTCTGTTGAGAATAATATGTCAAGTGTGAGTTGGAATTTCAAATTGGTTATAAATGTGGATAGTTGAACATTTATAAGTGAGAGAACTCATACACCTATCACTTTAAGGTGTTGGATGAATATGTGGTGTCTCTCTCACTTGTGTTGCTCTTTCCCTAATATTGATGCTCTTTCCCTAATATTGATGCTCCTCCTAATGACCTAACATGTTCATGGAAAAAAGCAACTGAGCGGAGATGAGAAAAGAAACCTAAGTTAATGAGAATTAATTTGGTTTTATGTATGAGAGTTTGACCACGAAAGCGATCTATCTATTATGACATGTGATGAATAAGGATAAGATGGACTAACAAGTCTTGTACTTAATTTTTATTGATTTGAAGAGTGTGTGTGATAAAGTATCTAGAGAGATTTTGTAGAAAATTTAAAGAAGAAATGAGTTAGGGTTCGTCCATATTTGAGTTATCCAATATATATATATATATATATATATATATATATATATATATATATATATATATATATATATATATATATATATATATATATATATATATATATATATATGAAGAAGTATCGAGGAACGAAAATTTTTTCCATTATAATATGATATGGACACCAAAAAGAGAAGAAAATCATAGTGCCTTTACAACATTGCAACACGTAAAAAGGTTTTGTTAATAAATACATTTTACTTAAATAAATACCATTTTTACTTTTATTGAGGTAGCTTATAGTTGAAAATATATTTTGATTAAGCCCCCCAAAAGTTTTGGGTACCTATTGGAAAAGCAAAGCTCAAATTTTCATTCAAATGTTTGCTTATCTTCTTTTAGATATCTCTGACAACTTTTTTTTTTTTTAATTTGTATTCACTTAGAAGTTAATATACTAATTGTTAAAACAACAATTAGTATAAAAGATTAAAAAAAGCGAAAGGAAAAGACAATAAGAACAACTATAATTTCATTTATTTATATCTAAAAGTATGATTCATTACATAATACTAAAGTTTAATTTACAATATGAGACAAACTCTAACACTGATCTAACAAGATACTATCCACATTTCTCCCAAAGCCAAATCAATCTATAAGTGTTAAAGGAAAGTGAATTTACTCCTCTCTCCCTTCACACGTAGCTTGGTTGGAACCCCAATTTTTCATTTACAAAATCCAATATACTATAAAAATTTCTTTGGAAAATGCACGCCATCAAGGAGGTTTTATTATTCATGAATCTTCAACTTTGTTTCCCCCGTACAATCACTAAGCCTATGTCACAACTCATTTTTCAAAATTTGCTAGGAGAAGTTAGACATGTAATTCATTACCGTAGGAAAAAAAGTTGAGTCCAATATAATTGATCATATCTTTAACAAAAAGACATTTGATTTAGTTAGAAGCCTTCACCATTTGTTTCACCACCAAATCTCCATGATAAAATCCAAGTTATTATCAACAACCATAACCCTGCAACTTCCCCCAAACACTCCAAAAACAAGACTTGCAGAACAAACCTGCTTAACACTTCTTCAATCCTACTGCAACACATTCTCAAAACTAACTCAAATCCACGCCTTCATCCTCAAAAACGGCCTCCAAAACAACCCATTAGTTCTCACCAAATTCGCTTCATCTTCCTCCAACTTCAACGCCATTCACTACGCTTCCTCATTCTTATTCCCATCTCACCAAACCCCATCTTTCTCCTACGATGCATTCCTCTTCAACACCGTTATCAGAGCCTATGCTCAAACTCAAACCCATGATTCCAAATCAAAGGCATTGGAATTCTACACAACCATGCTCCGGTATGGTGTTTCGCCGAATAAATTCACCTTTCCGTTTGTTCTTAAAGCTTGTGCTGGTGTTGCGAGTCTGAGATTGGGGAAACTGGTTCATGGGTCTGTGGTGAAGTTTGGGTTTGAAGATGATCTTCATGTTGTGAATACGATGATTCATATGTATTGTTGTTGTGAGGGAGAAGAAGGGATTGAGTTTGCTGAGAAGGTGTTTGATGAAAGTTCTAAGTCGGATTTGGTGACGTGGAGTGCTATGATTGGTGGGTTTGTGCGCTTGGGGCGCTCTGCTCGTGCTATTGGATTGTTTAGGGAGATGCAGGTGAGCTCATTTTCAAATACGATTAGATAAGTGCTTTGAAATGAGTAAATTTTTTTGTAGTTAAGAACCTCAATTCCAAAGATGCTTAAATAGGAAAGTATGAAAAAATTAATACATTGCACTTTTTTCTTCTTTCTAGTAATCCTGTTTTACTATTGATATGTAGAAAGAGCTTAGCTTGACAAGAACTAATATGTTCTGAGCTGTTTGTCAAACATTATCTTACTCATGCAATTTATGTTTGTTCATGCAGGTCATGGGTGTTTGCCCTGATGAGATCACAATGGTTTCTGTTTTGTCTGCATGTGCTGACTTGGGAGCACTTGAGCTTGGAAAATGGATGGAATCTTACATTGAGAGGAAAAACATTCCTAAGTCTGTGGAACTCTGTAACGCACTAATAGACATGTTTGCAAAGTGTGGCGATGTCGATAAAGCCACCAAACTGTTCGAACAAATGGAGTCACGCACCATAGTTTCATGGACTTCAGTAATTGCTGGTTTTGCAATGCACGGTCGTGGTTTAGACGCTGTTTCTTTATTTGATGAAATGGTTGAAAATGGAATAACACCTGATGATGTTGCTTTCATTGGTGTGCTCTCTGCTTGCAGTCACTCGGGGCTTGTTGACAAAGGAAGAACTTATTTCAAATCAATGGAAAGGAATTTCAACATCGTGCCAAAGATAGAACACTATGGATGCATGGTGGATTTGTTTTGTAGAGGGGGATTTGTTAAAGAAGCATTTGAGTTTGTTCAAAAGATGCCTTTTGAACCAAACCAAATCATATGGAGAACCATAATCACTGCTTGTCATGCAAGTGGAGAGCTCAAGCTTGGAGAGAGTATCTCCAAAGGGCTAATAAAAAAAGAGCCGATGCACGAGTCCAATTATGTTTTACTGTCGAACATTTACGCAAAATTGCGACAATGGGAAAAGAAAACTAAGGTGAGGGAGATAATGGATATGAGAGGGATGAAGAAGGTTCCAGGGAGTACCATGATTGAGGTAAATAATGAAATGCATGAGTTTGTCGCTGGTGATAAGTCTCATGATCAGTATAAGGAGATATATGAAATGGTGGATGAGATGGGAAGAGAAATCAAAAGGGCAGGGTATGTTCCTACCACATCTCAAGTGTTGCTTGACATCGATGAAGAAGATAAAGAAGATGCTTTGTATCAACATAGTGAGAAGCTTGCCATAGCTTTTGCTCTTTTGAACACTCCCCCTGGAACAACCATCAGGCTTGTGAAGAACTTGCGCGTTTGTGAAGATTGTCACTCTGCTACCAAGTTTATATCTAAGGTTTATAATCGAGAGATCGTTGTCCGGGACCGCAATCGATTCCACCATTTCAAGAATGGCCTGTGCTCTTGTAGAGACTTTTGGTAATTGAAAATTGATTAGAACATCGAAGATTCTGTGCTCATTTGCTGAAAACATGAAGTACTTTAAATTTAGTTTTCATTTTGAAAACAAGTTTGAGGTAAATAGTCGCACAAAGTTTTAAACCCAAGATAAAAACTCAAAAACTACCAAACCTTTTTATTATTATTATTATTATTATTATTATTATTATTATTATTATTATTATTATTATTATTATTATTATTATTTAAAATACATGAAGTATGCAATCGCTACTTGAGGAAGTTATAGTCAAATTCTCTGAGAGTAAACTTCTACAGAGTTGGTTACAATGAAATACAAAAAATAACAAACTGCTTTATATTCGTGCACAGTGTAAGGGAGGTGAAATATTAGCATTTGTTATCCCTTTAACATTGTTGCATATTGTTTTACTTGGCTTCTTTAGATCAACCGATGTAATGTTGAGTTGATTCGTTCCAAGGTAATATTGTCACACCCTATCTTTGCACAATCTAACGCAATAGCCTTATCACCACGGCATGTTCCATGAATATTACTAAATGTTACATCACTCACTTTAAGTGTGTCTTTCTACCAAAAAAATGCATCTTACTAATACTATTCATATACTACCACGAACAAAATCAATACGAGGCAAGTGAGAAAGAATATTGTAATGTTGATCAATCTGTTAGGGTTGTTTACTTGATTGACTATGATTCGATTGAAAATGATGGATTTGACATATCTTTTTTCACCTGTGAGATGTTGGATCGAACTCTAGTATGGTCGAAGTCTGTTCGCGAGTAATGCGTATTGTAGTCGAAGTTTGTTCTAACATGCATTAGTCAATATTGTTAGAGTTGTTAGCATGTTGAATTGGGTCTTGCTAGTAAACCCAATTGTTTAAGTTAGCTTGTATCCTAAGTTAGCTTGGAATGAGTAATTCTTAAAAAGCCCCTTAGATTAGTGTGCTATTTTTCTTATAAATAGGATACTAGTTTCTCAATCTTGGAATAAGAAAAAATAGGAAGATAAAATCCTAATTTCAAGAGAGAGAGGTTATTTTGTTATTCTTGTATACTTGTAATCTTGTTTTAAGAGAAAGGAAAATATAGCAGTTTAATAACCAATCATTGTTGTTTTTTGTTGTTTTACCTTGTCTTCTTTGTTAACCCTAACCCGTGTGTGTTTCTTAATTATTAAGAAATTGTTTATAATTTGTTTAAAGGTATCCAATTCATTACAAATTGGTGCGGTGAGCGTGGAGAAGATGCCTTCAACAAAGTATGAGATTGAAAACCCTACTGGTTCAACAGGGTTGTTTGGAAGCGTTGAAGGGTGAGGCAGCCATGAATGATGCGTTAACGGAAAAAGAAAATATGGGCATGATCGAGAAAGCCCACAACGCAATATTGTTGAGCCTTGGTGATAAGGCTCTTCGACAGGTATCAAAGGAGACTACAACATCGAGATTATGGGTGAAACTTGAAAGTTTGTACATGACCAAATCTATGGTGAATAAACTCTACCTGAAGTAAGCATTATATTCATTCAAGATGAGTGAAGACAAAATGTTGGCTAAGCAGTTGGATATATTCAACAAGCTGATTCTTGATCTTGAAAATATTGATGTGAAGATCGAGGATGAAGATCAAACATTGTTGCTGCTGTGTGTTTTGCCCAGAACACATGCTCAATTCAAAGAAACTCTCTTGTATGGAAGGGAGTCCCTGACCTTTGAAGAAGTTCAATCAGCCTTATATTCTAAGGACTTGAACGAACGAAAGGAGCATAAACCTTCGACGGTGGGCGAAGGTTTGGCCGTTAAGGAAAAATTCTTGCGAAATGATGGTAAGTTCGACAAGAAGAAAGGTAAAAGTCAACAGAAGTCTTATAGTGGCGAAACATCTGGTATTCGATGTTATCACTGTAAGAAGGAGGGTCACATAAGAAAGGTGTGCCCTGAACGCCTGAAAGATCGTGGAGGTAATGGCAACACAGCCATTGTTCAAGATGACTTCGACTCATCTGATGTTCTTGTGGTTTCAAATGGGGACTTGAGAAAAGAGTGGATTATGGATTCATGTTGCACTTGGCACATGACTCCAAACAGAGAATTGTTCGAAGAGCTATGTGATCAAGATGGTGGATCTGTGATGTTGGGTAACAACAAATCTTGCAAAATTTCAGGTATTGGATCTATGAGATTCAAGCTCCATGATGAGTCAATAAGGTTATTGACTGAAGTTAGGTATGTACCTGACTTGAAGAGAAATTTGATTTCTCTTGGTGAATTCGACAAAAAGGGATATGTTTTTCAAGGAGAGAAAAGTATCCTAAGAGTCATGAAAGAATAACAGTTTAATAACCAATCCTTGTTGTTCTTTGTTGTTTTACTTTGTCTTCTTTGTTAAGGCTAACCCTTGTGTGTTTCTTGATCATTAAGAAATTGTTTATACTTTATTTAAAAGTATCCAATTCACAACACCACCCTTATAAAATACAGAGTATTTGTTGATTAAATTTAAGCCTTGTTATATAATTATCGTATTTTTCAATTAAGTTTGTAGCATTACTGGCCATGTGTTGATTCTTGTGCATCACCAGCTCCATTAAAAGTGCAATTTCTGACATTTATATGCTCAACAAAATCCTTAGCTTCACCACCCCCTAGACTCCCCAGATTGCATCAAAATATTAGGTATGCCAGTATCCCTAGCTTACCAGTAACAATCATTCTAAATTTTGAACAAAGCTTTATATATTTTGACATACACAATGTCATGAGTCTTAGGTCCACAAGTAACTTGAGTGACATTGATGAATTGTGACCCGCCATTATGTTAACATGTGAGATTGTTACGTTTTTACTATGAACTACATATATATGAAACCCTGACCCACTTATATGAGTGAGGCCACTTAATTGAAGCTTATCATCTTTCAAATAGTAAAGCCCGCACATTCAACAACATACACAAGTTTTGTCTCAGAAATACAATTCAGATGATAAAAAATTGCAAAGGCACTTGAACACGTGAACATAGGTTTAAATTCATGAGTTACAGACCCAGATTCCCTGCTATAGCAATATATAAATACAAAAATTAATTTTTGTATAACCTAATTTCTTTTTCCATAATACAGTAATTTTAACCACCAAATTATTCCACTCACATTATTTATTTGCTTGAAAAAATTGGTTAAATAAAGTCACGTCACAATGCAATTTTCTCTATTCAAACAAAATTTAATGCGCGAATATTACATATTGTAAACAAAACTTAATATGTATCTGAAATAAATACAAGATGTTTCATCATATAAATAGTTTATATTAAACTCAATATAAATAGTTTATATTAAAATCAAACTTATAAAAAAAATATGTTGTTAATATTTTCACGCGTTAGCGCAATAAAAAAAGGACAAACAGAGTGTCCGTTTGTACGTTAGTATTAAATAAAATTTATGTAAAAAGAAATTGAACTTTTAAAAAATTTGGAGCCGCTGTACTGCAATAGAGCCTGTTGTTCTTGCAAACATTGTTTATTATACCAGAAAGAAAAAATATGTTTAATTATTGTTTGTTCAAACCAATCCAGAAAGAAAAAAACATGTGTACAACATTGTTTGACAAACCTAATTGTTAGGAATGGTGAAGTATATAGATCCTAAGTTACACACCAAGAGAAACACAATCTAAAAAAAACGAAACAAACACATCCGTAAATCTCATCAGAAATATAAAAATATTAAAGAATTATAAACATCATAAATAACACGGCAAAATCGCACACCGTCATAAACCATTATATCAGAAACATATTATTTAAATACCAGCGAATCAGAAATATATTATTCAAATACCCAGTAACAACTCACCTTCCTTCTATCAAAACCTATTAACACAAACACTAAACAGAATCAGAAAACACCTTCCTTCAATTTTAGCACAAAAAGTATTAATGAAATGCAAAAAAAAAATGTCAAAAAAGAATAAATATAATGGCTGAATATTCAAAGAAAGAATTCAAATCAGAAAAGATACATAACTTAAAAATCATAAAAGTGAATGAAAAATATAGAGATTGAAAAGAGAAGGAGAGATTTGAAGAAAATATTTTTCAAAAAACCATGTTTGAGATGTAACAAAGCATAATGATTGAATCTTTAAGTTTAAAAGAAAGAGGTGAGGAAAGAAAGAAGAGAGAAAGTTGAGCTAAAAGAGAAAGACAAAGATGCAGTAAGCAAAGAGAGAGAAGAAAGAAAGAAAAGTGGATGGGAAAAAGAGAGAGCGCGTAAAAAAAAGAAAGAGAGATAAGAAGTTATAAAATGTGAAGAAGCAAAATATTATATGTTAGGCGAAGCAAAATATTGTTAAATAATACTATGCAGATTTTCAAAACAATTCGAATATGGTGCATTGAAGAAATGTTTAGGCAGCTGCATGTCTAGGAAGCATTTTGTTTGGTTGTATGGCATAAGCAAAACGAAGGAAACCTGCCGAAGCTATCCACGTGGAAGCTTATTTGTGCAACAAGACAAAAATAGTATTTCCAGAACACCTAATAAAATATATAAAAAGAATTAATTTACTTTTTATTTTTGTTAAAATTTTTGATAAAAACAGATTTTATCAAAATAGATCTAATGAATGCATTAATTAAAACTGATTTTTTTTTTAAATTTATATAGTAAATAATATAATAATTAAAACATATTTAGAAAATGTTTAAAAATATTTTTAATAGAATCTGATTTTATAATAAAAACAAAATTAAAAATAATATTTTTAAGGATGGCAAAATGAGTTCAATTTGTCGAGTATGTCCATTTTATCAACTTTTTTGGCAGGTGAGTCAAGGTTTTGGGCCCACATTCTCTAATATATCGGCCGCCTCCTTTTTTGCAAATATTAACATGAAAAATTGTAATTTTTAGATTTAAAATATGTAATGTTCGCCACCTGCCTTGTCCCACCCTCATTTTTTTAGAGTGGGACAAAATTTTAGGCT